GATTAGAAAGACTTGAATCAGGTGCAACTTGGTCTTTAACATCATAATTGCTCCTCAGGACTTTGGAAAGGTCCCTGACAGCAGTCTTTCCCAATGCTGCATGTGTCCTGATCTGACTGCTCGTACCAAGCTTATCTCCATCTATCATGATGTTGCCCATGGACTTAGTGGTGAGGATTTTTGTTTTCTTGATGTTGAGATCCTGCCAGAGGGTCAGAGATGAATTGGTTCTGTTCTGAATTGACAGCACATAACAATAGACTCCTTTATCTTTTATGTCTTGAGTCAAGTTTGACTCCTAACAACCCTCCGCCAGGTTTCTAAGTCTATGTGTGCGTCTTTACAGGAAGAGACTGTCCATCTTTCTCCCACACAGCAGCTAGGGATTCCAACAGATGACGTTTGAGTTAGCAGCACAATTATATATAGAAAGTGATACGGAGTTTGTTATCAAGCACTGTTGTACCAGCAATTGCTGTATTATGATGGTTATGCCATTGTTAGGTGCTGTTGTATGGACTGTGACTCCTTGTGACCCTGTGAAAAATGGATCTGAACTCTGCCCTATCCTTTCCCATCTTCATCATCTCTGATCTACGTGAGCCCAATGTTAACGGTCACTGTCTCAATTCATCTTGTTGAGGATATTCCTCTTTTAGATGACCCTCTACCTTTTCAAGTATGATGTCCTTTTCCAAGGACTGGCCCTAACAACATGCCCCAATTATGTGAAATAAACCAGCCTCACCATCCTTGCCTCTAAGGAGCATTCTGGCCACACCTTCTCCAAGACATACCTGTTTGTTCTTTTGGCGGTCTGTGGGATATTCAGTACTCTTCTCCAACACTACAGTTGAAGACATTGATTCATCTTCTGTCATCTTTAGCCTTTATCCAACTTTCAGATGCATAGTAAGTAACTGAAAAGGCCATGGTTTGGATCAGGTGCACCTCAATCTTTAAACTGACATCATTGCTCTTTAGAACTTTGAAGAAGTCTCTGTCACAAAATTTTCTTAATGCAACATGTCTTTTGATTTCTGCTGGTACAAAGGGTATTGATTATGGATCCATGTTAAGATGAAATCATGGATAACTTCAATCTTTTATCAATCTATCATGAGATTGAATAGATGTGGTGAAAGGATACATCCCTGAAGGACATCTTTCTTGTTTATAAACCATAAAGAGTTCCTTGCTATTTTGGACAACTAACTCTTGGTCTAGGTATGTTTTTCACATGAGCATAATTAAGTGTTCTGGAATTCTCATTCTATTCAAATGCCCTTACATGGTCAATAAAATAAAAATAGACATCTTTTTGGTATTCTCTGCTTTCAGTCAAAATCCATCAGACATCAGCAGGGACATTCCTGTTGGCACAGCCTCCTTGAATTTCTGGCAGATCTCTGTCAATGACTGTTATAGCCATTTTTTAATAATCTTCAGCAATATTTTGCTTGGGAGCTCTGGTGGCCTAGTAGCAAGAAGCTGCACTGCATTTCCGAAGGCACATGGTTTAAGGCCACCAGCTGTTCTGTGAGAGAAAGATGGGCAATCTCCTCCCATGCAATTACCTGCCTCTGAAAACCCACCAGATGGTCAACTATGGGTCGGTTCTGACTCAATGGTACACAACAACAACAACAACAACATGTGATATTATTAATCATGTATTCCTGGTATCTTCTTCTCATCTTGAGAGGATTAATTATTTTCATTATCATTCATTGTTGGTGTTATTGTTATGTGCCGTTGGGTCACTTGCGACTCATAATGACCCTATGTACAATAGGTATAAACCTGGCTCTATCCTTTGGCAATCTGTCTCCGACACGCCTATTCCCATTACCCCAGTGACCGAATCAATCTATCTCATCGAGGGTCTTCCTCTCCTGCACCGTCCCTCCACCCTCCCAAGCATGACGGCTGGCCCTCTCCAAGGACTGGACCCTCCTTGCAACATGTCCAAAGAATGTCAGACAACGCTTCAAAATCCTTGCCTCCAAGGAGCAGCCTGGCTTCAACCTCTCCAGGATGGACTTGTTTGTTCTTCTAGCAGTCCAATATACATTAAATACTCTTCTTCAGCACCACAGTTCAAAGGCATCAACTCTCCTATCATCCCTAGTCATTGTCCAGCTCTCTGAAGCATAGCCAATAATGGCAAAGACCATGGCCTATATCAGGCACACCTTAGTCTCCAGACTGACATCGTTGCTCCTAAGTACCTTGAAGAGGTGCTGAAGACAGCAGGCTTCCTCAATGCAATTTATCTTTTAACTTCCTGGCTGCTGGTAAGAAGAGTATAGATTGTAGAGCCAAGCAAACTAAAGCTATCAACATAGAAGTGCCACTTATTCATTCCCAAAGACGTCAATGCTGACGGTGGTAAATTCATGTTAACAGGAAGAAAGTGTCAGCAACTCATCTCAAATCACCTAGTAAAAAATCATACTAGTTGGTTGATTTATGCCTTAATGCTGTAACTCTCATAGGTAAATTATATGTATGGAATTGCTTATAAGAAAAACTAATTTTGAACATGGCGAGCTCTGATGGCATGAGACAAAGGAGAAACAACGGTCATGCCAAAAAGGGCCGTGGTCACATGCAGCCTATTTGCTGCACAAACTGCACCCAGTGCACGCCCAAAGACAAGGCAATTAAGAAGTTTGTAATTCTTAGAGGGAGCCATTTCTGAAGTGAGTTTCTTCGATGTACATGTGCTTCCAAAGCTCTGTGTGAAACTGCACTACTGTGTGAGTTGTGCCATTCACAGCAAGGTGGTGAGGAACTGTTCTAGTGAAGCTTAGAAGGACCAAACCCCTCCACCTAGATTTAGACCTGCAGGTGCTGCCCCGCAACCACCACCATAGCCCATGTAAGGATTTGATTCCTTAAAGGCTGAAGAAAAAACTCACCTGAAAATAAAATGGAAATTATACTTAAAAAAAAACCCCTAATTTTAAAATTTTTTTATTCCCTCTTTTTTTTTTTTATTTATGTGTGTGCATGTGTACCGTCAAATCAGAACTGACTGGTCCAGGAGGAGATTGCCCCTCCTTCCTCGGCAGAGCATCTGGTGGATTAGAACTGTACGCCTCTGGAATTGCAGTGCAGCTTCTTGCCACTAGGCCACCAGAGCTCCCCTAAAATTTTTTTAAAAAAAGAATAACTTACAAGAAGTACATGTCACAAGATTAATTAGAACTCTGCAATACAATTCTTTTTAAAACTACTTGCCAAGACTGATAAAAGACTGGCTCCTATGTTGTTTCAGTTAGAACATTCTATTTAATTTCTTTTTAAATTACCAAGATTAATATTTGTAGAAGATAGAGCAAAAGTGTGAACCACATGTGCTCCTGAGCCTGAGACACCCCACAGTTAGGCTGCTTCATCTATCACTGTTTAAAAAAAAAAAAGAAAATGTTTATTTTATACTGTTTTACTAACAAAGTTCATAAACATTGTTTTCCACACCGGATCTTTCCCATTTCCCTTACCCACCCCTCCCTGAAATATCACTTTCTTGCAAATAATGTTTATCAGACACAATCTTGCCTGCTAAAGTGAGGAGGACTTGAGACACTGGCTGCAGAAGGTTAAACACTGCAGCCTTCAATATGGATTTTATCTCAATGTCAAGAAAACAAAAAATCTCACAACTGGACACATAGGCACCATCATGATAGATGAAGAAAAGAATGAAACTTCATCTTATTTAAATCCACAGTCAACACCCAGGAGATCAGGAGATGTATTGCACTGGAAAAGTCTGTGCATGGGGACCTCTTCAAATTATTGTGGAGCACTGATGCTAGTTTAAGGACTAAGGTGTGCCTGATTCAGACCATGGTCTTTTCAACACTTGCTATGCATCAGAGAGTTGGACGATAAAGATTGTTTCAGGAATTCGACCTCCTATCCAGTGACTCCAGGCAAAGGCCCAGGCAAAGGAACAGTGTGCTACAAGCTCTTCTGGTGAAGCAAGGAAGACTTTATTGTCCGTGGGGAGTGCTGACGGAGACCACAGCCTCTCAAGGGTCAGGATCTCCAAATACAAAATGTTATCTCTTTACATGGGCTTACAAGATAGTGGTTGCAGTCTCTTTTCTATTGGCTAGTTTTTACACACATTATGATTGGTTAGTTAAAACTTTTGAGCAAAAGAGCTATAAATCAGGTACACAGACAAAGTTCATAGGTACACAGATAAAGTTCATACGTTAGTTAAAATTCCTCCATTAGTTTACTGGGTAGTCAACTCAGCTGCTGGAACGATTTTTCTGTTATTTATTGCTAACTCCTTGATGTGGTTAGAGCTACTCAACAGCCGCTGCTCCTGGGGGTTGAGTCTACCAAGCAGGTTTCCTATTTTCGCTTAGTGTTTTTGGGCCTGGGCCTGCCTTAAACAGGTTTCCTCTATTTGCCTTGTGTCTTCTTGGGGCTGGGGCTTCCTCAAGGTGACGGAAAAATTGATGCCTTTGAGCTGTGATGTTGGAGAAGAAAATCCCATGGACTGCCAAAAGAATACACAGAGATGTCTTGGAGAGAATGCAGCTAGAGTACTTCGTGAAGGCAAAGAGGATGGAGTTTGTTTCAGTACTTTATCAGAAGTACTTTGGGCATGGAGACGTTATTCCCTGGAGTGGGACATCATGCTTGAAAAGGTGGAGGAATGCGGAGAGGATGGACTGACATAGTGACTGGGCAACGGGCTTGAGTATGTCAGATTTTAAGGATGGCACAGCAAAGGACAAGGTTCCAATGTGTCGTTCAAAGTTTCGCCACGATTCAAGGGGATTGAACTACCTCCCCCTTGATAATCTACCAACATTATCACGGTAGACCCAAATTAAAAAACATGAGTGTTTACAAGAGAAATGATTAGGGTGTACAAATGATTTTTTAAAGGAAAGGTTACAAGAGGAGATGACCTTCTTTTTTGGAAAACTAAAGTCAGATCACCGTCCACTGACTTCCTCGGTCTGGGCATGCGCACTCCCTACTTGGGGGGGGGTGAGGGAGGCGGGCCGTACCCCCCGGAAACCGTGGAGAGAGGCCGGCCGGAGACCTGGAGGTGGGGGAAAAGTAGCTGGAGGAATCTGAGGTCAGAAAGAATGAATGGACGCAGGGGGCCAGAGGGCCCTACCGTGAGTAGTCTGACCGCGCTTGCGTCCTCTTCAGGAAGCTAACCCACATGGCGGGCGAACAGCAGGGCCCTAGGCTTGCGGAGAGGAGGGGACACGAGCTGGACTGCGGCTGCGCAGACTCCAGGCCGTGGGCGGGGGCGTCCTGGGCGGGACTTCCTGCGCGCACGGGCGTGTGTGGCGTGGCGTCGCCTAGGAGACAAAAGCGGAGCGGGAAGCTGTACTTCCTTTAGAGGCTCTCGACCCGCGAGACTGGAGAGAAAAGATAAAAGAGTCCGAGGCGGCGTCCGCTGCTTGTCCCCGCTCCTGGGGTCGCAGGACTTGGCTTTCTTAGGGACCTGGCCTGGCCCGCAAAGCCTCTGGTCTCTAAGTGAGACCACCCGTGAGAGCAGGGAGCGCCGCTCACAGCTGAGCCGGCCTCTCCCCCGGGAGTCCCGGCTTCCTCTAACTGGGTGCTGGGGTGCTGGCGCCCACCAGGACGTGGTGTGGTGGGCACAGTGTTCGCGTGCTTTCCTCCGAGGAAGTCTTCCCCGTCCCGGGCTCGGGACACTGTTCTCCACGGAGCTTTGTAGTCTGCGTGGATCCAAACCCGGGGTCTCCACATCTGTGGGCTCATCCGAACCAGCGCAGGAAACTGACCCCTGGGCCGCCCTCTGTGGGTCACTGGGGTTTCCTCTTGATCCGATGAGAGCCTGTGCAGATTTCTTACAACCTCTGATTAGACGTCCAGTAACTATTTATGGAATGAATGGCGTTGGAGAGTTGAGTTCAAGTCCCAGCTCGACCTACTTGTAGCTGCGGCTCTTGAGCACCCTTTTTATAAAAAAAGTCTTGAGATGGTAATAACAGCGCCTACAGGATGGGGGTGAGTGCTGTAAACGGATGCAGATGAAATGAACTATTGCGTCTCACGCCAAGTACTGGTTCTGTAAATGTTTTTATCAGTAGGCGTTGACACTTAGTCTGGGGCTTCAGATGGCTGTGTAGAAATTCCTCGTTTCTCTTTGTTATTGAGTACCATCGAGAACTGACCCGTAGCTGACCCTGCAGCACGTTTTTCAGAGGCAGTAAAACACACGAGAGGAGATTGTTCTTCTTTTCTCCCTCTAAGTAAGCTGGTTGGTAAGAACCGAGTGCCTTCAGGTTGACAGGGCAGCTCCTTCCCCGCTAGGCCAGCGGAGCTCTGTGTCATTCCTAGACGCTGCGAGGTACCAGGGAAACTTCTTGTCTAATGTGTTTTACAAATATTCATTGCCATCGAGTCAGAAGTGACTCATAGCTGACCCTCCAATGGGTTTTCAAAGGCTGAAATGATACTAAAGAAGAATGCCCGTCTTACTCCCATGGAGTGGATTCCAATCACCAGAGAGAGATACCTTTGGGTTAGTAACCCAACTCCCTACGAACTCTACTATTTTACACGCGTATTTAAATATTTGAAATTTATGTACGTGGTGCAAAAAAAAAAATTAAAAGTACTTCCCCCATTGTAGTTACAGTTTTTATTCTTCTAGGTGTCTCGATGTCTTTTTAGAAGTTGGAAAAAAATAGCTTTATACTGGCATTTCTTATTTGTTGATTTTTCACATTATGTCCTTCGTGTAAGGTAAATTCTTAGGTCTGCCAGTTTTCCTAGCTTCATCCCTGGTGGCGAATGGGAGGAATTATTTATTATTAAAATTAGTTTGCTGGGAAATTATTAGTGTATCAGTTATGTTACCAGTACTTGTTATCATTATTTTCCTGTTTCCTTTTAAAGAAAATAGCTTTTTAAAAAGTCCATTTACATAAAATATTTAAAATCATTTACATAGCATATTTTAAA